GGCACCAATAACCAATCATTGATTAAGGAGGCCATTCATGTTATAAGCATTGGCTACGAAGAGAAAACTGAATGGGGCAAAGAGGTAATCCCCTGAATTACACTGAGCTCTTAACATTTATACACGCCAAATGCATTTAATGTTTATCAGGAATTTATGTTCCAGATTATAGATACTCTGAGTTCCATGAATACTAAGGAATCAAATCTTCTTGACAATTTCATCTATCCTGCAGATTGGATGGATTTATGGTTCAGTTACAGAAGATATCTTGACAGGGTTTAAGATGCATTGCAGAGGATGGAAATCAGTGTACTGCATGCCAAAGAGAGCAGCTTTCAAAGGATCTGCTCCAATAAATCTATCAGATCGGTTACACCAAGTTCTGAGATGGGCTCTTGGTTCTGTTGAGATATGTCTCAGTCGTCATTGCCCACTGTGGTATGGCTATGGAGGAAAATTGAAATGGTTAGAGAGGCTGGCTTACACTAATACCATTGTTTACCCGTTCACTTCCATCCCTCTGCTTGCATATTGTGTAATTCCAGCTGTGTGTCTTCTGACCGGAAAGTTCATCATACCTACTGTAAGTACATGATTATTAAATCTGACTTTGTAAAAATACTTAAAGAACTTGGTCGCCACTGTGATTATAATATACAACGCACAGATTGATCACTTACTTTCAGGTTGGGTCTTCTGGTCCATAAATTTTTGTGGCCAATGAGCCAATCAACTTTTCATGGGATTGGTTGAGTAAATAATTTACTACAGATTATAGGTTATGTTGCTATTGGATCATGTATTCTGACTGAAATTTTTTCCTGTGCAGCTGACAAACCTTGCTAGCGTTTGGTTTATGGCTCTATTTATCTCCATCATTTTAACTGGCGTACTAGAGCTTCGGTGGAGTGGGGTAAGCATTACAGATTGGTGGCGAAATGAGCAATTCTGGGTCATCGGAGGTGTTTCTGCCCACCTTTTTGCTGTGTTTCAAGGTCTTCTCAAAGTTCTTGCTGGAGTGGACACCAATTTCACTGTCACAGCAAAAGCAGCAGATGATACTGAATTCGGGGAGCTGTATCTCTTCAAGTGGACGACTCTTCTTATCCCACCCACCACTCTCATAATTCTGAATATGGTTGGGGTTGTGGCTGGAATCTCTGATGCTATCAACAATGGCTCTGGCTCCTGGGGACCTTTATTTGGAAAGCTATTTTTTGCCTTCTGGGTTATAGTTCACCTCTATCCTTTCCTCAAAGGTCTGATGGGAAGGCAAAACAGGACTCCTACCATTGTTGTCCTCTGGTCAATTCTTCTAGCATCAATCTTCTCACTGATTTGGGTCCGGATTGATCCCTTCTTGCCCAAGCAAACCGGTCCAATTCTCAAACAATGTGGAGTAGATTGCTAGGGCAGTGGGGGCAATTGGGTATTTACTCCCAATTCATATTTGCTTCCTGGATTTTGTTCTTGGTCGTTTTTCTTGGTTTGAGTGGTTACCTTTCTGAGAAGAGTTATCAGGGTGAGTTATCAGTGTATATAGGTTTCATGGAGATAAACTTTTATCATCAGAATGGACCACAAGAGATATGTCCATCTCAAGATACGGGATGATATGGCTGCCAACGTTGTTTTTATAGTGATAGGAAAACTCTCCTCTTATACTGCAAGTTTATTGTATTGAGATCAGATTTTCAAATAATATTCCTTTTCAATGAAGCTGTTTCTCTGTGCATCTTGGTTCCTGGGATCACTCAATTTTTCCATATGGAAAAGAAGTCTTCGTAGTTTTCTATTGTAATTTTCGGATCACTCAAATTTTTTAAGGGAGCAAATTCTTTGAAGTTGAGATCCATGAATTTCTGGGAAAATTTTCTTTTTTTTTTGATATTTTTCTCATTTTTTTATAAAATATAAAATCTCTCTTTCTTAAAGAAAAGGTAAATTTAAGGAAATTTATCAATCAACTCTAGAGAATCCATTCTCCTTTTTTAAAGAGTTGAACATCGTTCAGAAGCAGCAAAAATTCTAAAATATGAAATAAATAGAAAATCGTAATATAGAGAATTAAGGGAAATCAACATTATAATATAATTTGTGGGGTTCCCTGATATTCTGAACGTAACCATCTATATCAAATTAGATTAATCATCAATTCATAACCCTACATTCCAAGGGAAAATAACAAAAGATAATGTAATAATATATTAATTTAATTGTTACTTACATCTATCTTTTTTTTTTGGGTATCCCTCATAAATATAAACACATGTATATATAATTATTTGAATAATTATAGAGACTCAAATTGCTGAACGGTTCCTACTAGAAGTTTTAAAACAATCGAGTAATTGAAACTCAATAAATGAAAAAAAAAAAAAAAGATGATTATGGCAAGTTGCAGTGTCCCCTCGCCGCGGAATTATGAGAAAAGAAAGAAAAGGCTTTGGTGAATTGCTGAAAGAAAAAGGAGAGAAAGCAGAAAGAAAGAAAAGCCAGCATCTGCATTAGTGCTTTCAATTATTGATTATTTCCATCACATCAAACTTGGAATTTTGGCCTTTATAAAACAAGTTCAATGAGAATGAATATATCATACAGCATGCATAATCATTGTCAATTTTATTTTTCTGTTTCAAATAATATGAGCAAGTTGCAATATTAATAAGTAGTCTTTTTTATGAACCGAAAAAATAGGGAAATTGATTGATCAATTTAACCTATACAATTCAACTAATTTATTATTAGTCCAATTTTTTTCTACTCATTAGCCATGAATTTTTATATCTATCTTGAAATTTGATGTCAATTGTACTGTTTTTTTTATATGAGAGATTAAAAAAATAAATTTAAATTTATTTAAACATGTGCAAATTTAAGAGTTGATATACATATCTTGAGAATTTAAATTTATTGTATCATATCGCACATGACATGATATATACATATGAGGGTGCTTTGAACCGCATAAACAAAGGGGGAAGACAGCAGTGGATTATCATGTAAGCATATCCTTGCCCATCAATCTCTTTCTATCATTGACATTTTCTTTTTAATTAATGTACAAGCTGCAACAATTTAAGTTATTTTTTTAAAAAAAGGAAGTAAATTAATTTAAGTGAAACAAATAAAAAGAAGTGAGACTAATATACATCTAGGCAGTCTCACTCCCTTTACAAAACCATACGAGAAAAAAAAAAAATAGATATTCTTTCTTCTTCACCCCCTCCATTGATCAAAGTAAATCTTTAAAAAAGAATGAGAGTTTGAAAGGAAAAATCCTATTTATTTATTTATTTTGGGTGATTTTAACCAGATCCTGAAAATTAGATCAATCTGGACCAATTTTGTTTGAGCGAGACATGAGAAAAACATGTTTATTTAATTTGTTTTAAATATTGGGAGGGCCTGAGGAGACAAATGTGCTTCTTATTTTAAAAAAGATAAAAATTTTATGATATGAGTTTTTAAGATTTTGCATTTATATGTTTGAAATTTTGAATCATTTATGCTGAAATTTTAGAATAAAATACTTTCACCATTCTTCTATTTTACCTTAATTACATACCTCCATTTTATTTTGAAAACATACAACTTAGTCTAATATCTTAGCTCAGTTAAGAATATTCTAAAAATTTATATTAAAACAAATTTTATTTGCTGATTTACCCCTCACTTAATAAATCTTAAATTATATTATTTTAATAATTACTTAATTTCATTGTAAAAAACATGTTTACAAATTTCAATTTTTTTTATCAAATAGAAATTTTAAATTTTAAATTTAAATTATTTATATAATCTCTTGAACTTTCATTTTATGTTATGTGATGAACAAAAGTACGTGTTTGAAATATACTTTTAGCAATTTTTAAAAAATAAATGAATAAGTTTTAATAAATTTAATAAAAATTAACATTTTATAATGTGATAAAAATTAATAAATTTCATAATATAGTAAAAAATAAAACGTATTTATTATATGCTTTTTAGTTGTATAGAAAAAAATTTTGTTGGCAAACATAGATTTTTAGATAATTCTTATATTAAAGAGGGACATTTTGATCAAATTAAAAGTTTAAAAGTTAAACTTAATTATAAACTAATATTAGATGGATAGAAATAGAATCTCAAATATACAATAAAATTTTATGTAATATACATTTTAATTTTAAAAAAAGGTTTATATGAATTTTCAAAATAGAGGAAAAGTTTGCATGATTAAGATATAATAAAAGAATGATAAGTGTATTTTACTCTAAATTTTATTTTATTGCATTCATTGTTTTTGAGTTTTAAAATTTTGCATGTCTAACTTGGAGTTTCAGACTCTCCCATTCCCCTGAAGGGCTTAACATTGTCAAAACTATTTTACCATGTTGGATTTTAAATATAAGTCAATTAATTCATATAAATTAATAAAATTAGATAAATTATTGGGACTCAACTCCCTTAAATTTTCTGTCATAAAAAAAAGAAAATTGTATAAATTATTTATTTATAAAAAATGTATGCTACCTTTCTCAAAATACTATTTTTTAATTATTTATATTAGAGTACTATCAACTATCAAGATAATTTATACAACATACAAGAATATAACATATAGCTATAGCGGTAATTTGAGGAACAATAATAAACAAAGACGATAAAGGAGATTAAAATTTCATATTTACGATCAAAATAAATTTTTTAACTATATTCCATATTTAGGACTAACATGTAGGATGTATCTTTAACACCTAAATTTTTTAATTGTGAGAATATCAATTAAGAACTTCGAAAGAAATTTAATTTTCTTAAAAAGATTTCTAATACACATTAATAAGTCAAGAAATGAAATTATTGCTTGAAGAAGCATTTGATCCATCTAATTTTTGTAAAATATTAATTTTTTAATTATAAATTCTTATTGATATTTTCCTTTTTTTTGTTTTTAAATTTTTGGCATCCATTGGCCCCTGAAATAGGAATCTTAAGAAACTTTCTGCAAATGAAATGATTGTGTGATTGGCCATATCATGGGGTCAGTGTAGTTGCTTTGGGTACCATCCAACTGATGAGTCGTCTTCTCCACCGCCTCCATCTTCTTTATGTACCTTCCCTCTCTGCTTCTCCTTCTCCTCTTGTCCGTCCATGGCTGATTCTCCCTCTCCCTCTCCCTCTCCCTCCACTCTCCACCATCCCTCCGGTCTCAGTCTCACCGTCCTTGTCGCCGCCGTTGTCTGCGCCTTCCTCTGCGCCCTCGGCCTCAACACCATGCTCCACTGCGTCTTCCAATGCGCCGTCACTGAACCGCTCCAGTGGATCGCCTCTCGCCGGATCAATTCCGGCCTCAAGAAGAAAGACATGGTGGCTCTTCCTACCTCCACCTATCATGTCAACCCTAACTCTTCTTCTGCTTCCAATTCTTCCGTCACCTGCTCTAATTGTGCGATTTGCTTAGCAGATTTCAGCGATGGAGATCGAATTAGGTTTCTCCCAAACTGCAGTCACACATTCCATGTGGCTTGTATTGATAAGTGGTTGCTCTCTCATTCATCTTGCCCGACTTGCCGCCATTTTCTCAAGTCCTCCACAGATTCACTCAACTCCTTGCACCTTGTTATACAGTAGATATGTATGTGCGTGCGTATCCATGTTAAGAAAAATTTAGGCCAGGAAGAGGAAGACCAGATAGATTAATCATGGGAGTTGTAGGATGAGACTTTTTTAATGAATAATATTTATAAAAGCTTGGTTGATAATAACATACAATCACTTTATGCAATTTATGTAACAGACTCTCTTTAGTAAAATAAAATTTCTTGTTGGTTTCAACCATACACGTCTCTAAACAAGGCTTTTATATTAGTTATGGACTAAATTTTTGATCGTTGGACCAACTTTATTAGCAGCTAGTCATTCACTTTTTGATTCCTCTTGGGGAAATTTTTACTTGTCTTCTTGGTTAAGTAGTGTTAGTTGTTAATGTGGTATTGGCGTTTCTATGTAACTTCCCTCGAGTAACAAAATAATTACTATTTTGAGATATGTTCTCTGTGTGGTTTGAATCATGTTACACCTTAAAGAAACTGTGGGAAAGGGAGATTACTGTGCACCTGGCATGATGAGGGTAACATGAGAGGCCTACTCGAAAATTTATTGCCCATTATGCTAATTTCAACCATTTAACTCTTCTTCTTTCAAATAAGGGATTAAGTCTAACATAAAGAGTTAATTTTTCATAATATAATGAAACAATGTTTAAATTTGTATTAAGAAAGATGCTCACATTTAAAATTCAATAGTGCCACAAATAAGGTTACCTTTTTTTTTTTGAGCAAACAAATAAGGTTACCTTAAATAGAAGGATACCTATATAAAAAAAAAAACTAATATTGCGTACACCAACAAAAATTAATTCAATTGATAAGAATTTAAACCATAATTTCTAAGGTCATGACTTCAAATCTTGTCACTAACGTGAATGCTTTATTGATGGCTAATTTATAAATACATTTGTAATTATAAAAGTTTTTTGAGTTGGAGGTATGCTTTAACTCACTTAAAATTTTTTGTTAAATAAAAAGAAGCTAATATCAAGTACAAAAAGATATTGCAAATATATTATATGCCTACCAAATGAAACTTAACAAATTTTTTGGCCCGACTTTATCACATGTCCATGAGTAATACAACCCTTGTCTATTATTATTATTTGAAAATTTTATGTTATTTATAATAGTTTGTGAAATTTTAAGGATAATTAATACTCTTTTCACCTAAAATGCCCATGAGGTTATATCAAAACTACTTGTAAATAACTAATGATAAGGATTAGATATTAAGCGGGTCAACTGTAATAAAAAAAGTTAAATTTGGAAAGAAAGTGGGATGTAAACTAACTAATAATTTGAAAAAGATTGAAAATATAAGCATATTCAATGAGAGTAACTGATTTTAACTAGTTTTCTTAATCTGTGCAAAAAGCCAAAAAGTATTAAACGTCTCATATGAAAAGGATAAGAGTTAGCATGAGATGTTCGAAATAAATGCAATTAAATAACAAGTGAAGAACAGAGGTAAAGTGCCTTGTTTCTCTGTCTTATTTGATAAAAATGATGAGTACATTTTGTTTATTAATATAGCCAGCAAACTAACCCTAATTCGAGGATCTTAAAAGTCTTTAGCTGTATCCTACTATCTTAGACTTATCTTCTGTAGTATAAAGTATTAGTAGAGATAGCATATCGTAATGTCTAACTAATCCTAGAATATAAAACAATAATAATAAAACAATACAAGGAAATGCTAGTAATAAATAAAATAATATAATTGGCGCTTCTCAAGAAAAGATAATAATATTTTGATTAATAATTATATATTTTTTAGTAAGTAATAAATGTTGGTACACTGATAAATTAACCTAGACTCAACCATCAGTTAAAGTTGAAGACAATGAGCTAACCTCCTCAATATAATGTATTCTGATTTACTTAAATTCTGATTATATAATAGTGCACTAGGAAAAAAGTAAAGACATGTAATTAGCGTAAAAACAAGATAAAAACATCACACACAATAATATATATTTTTTCATGTCACTACTCAGTATCTCCAAAACCTTGAAACAAGTGGGGAGGTGCGCGCTAATTAATTCAAGCTCAATCTGATTATAATCCTTAAAGAAAATCAAATATACAATTTTTTCTAAAAAAATAGTACTCCCTTTGTTAAAAAATGTAAGGCATTTTTTGAAGAGTTAAATATTTACAAAATGTAAGATATTTTTAGTCTTTCAAAGTATAATCATTATCTTTTTTTCAAAAGCGCCCATATTGATAATGGCTTTATATTTATTATAGAGTATTTAATAAGAGTAAATATAAAAAAAGATTAGTTTAAAAGTAGGTAACTATTTTATTGGGTGGTAAGATTTGATTAAAAATATCTTACATTTTTAAATAGAGCGAGTATCTGAAATCTAATACAAACAAATTAAATTTTCAATTCTCGGATCACACAAAATTAGCAAAGAGAATGATTCAACTCAAAATGTTTGCCAATAACAATTGTGTTTTTTTTTTTAATACTTGACAAATGCTCAGACCCTATATCATTAGACGTTAAACAATTGATTTTACACAAAATCAAAAGATTACGTGGTACCTTCCCTGAGTTAATGTGACATGATAGCAAATGATAAACCCTTCTTAGCTAAGTTGCTACAAATACAAAAGTTAAGATTTAAATTTTTATCTACAACTTCCAGTCTCTTTATGTAATATATTTTTATTCAAATCATACAAATTAATAAAAGTTGATTATCTATTTAAAAGTATGGCAATATTTCATTGTTACTCCTAATTATTATAAATAAACAAATGAATATCTTTTCTCAAAATAAATTAATGAGTACTTATCTTTTTTTCTTTCTAATATAATAAAGATATAATGGTTCATTTATTAAAAAATATGCTGATAAACTCTTATATTAAGGGACAAAAAAAATGTTCTAAAAAATCTTTTATATATGGGAAGGGAATATTATTTTTAAGTGATGAATATGAACACCGATCAAGCACAAAAACAAAAATTCTTACTACTCACACTAACTTGAGTTGGCATACGAGGTGCCTCTTTAAAGCAAGTTGAGACATAAGAAGACAAAGATGGATAGTAAAGAAGCATATCGTCCAATTCAAAATGCATATTCTCCGACATATCTAAGTGAGTGATAAAGCAACATTTGTCCCATCATCTGATCATCACTTTGTGTGGATTAGGATATTTGATGCCTTTTATCCCACACAACAAAAAACAACCTAATTGATTTGTTGCACTCTGCATGCCTTCATATTGCTGAACCAAAAAGATAAGATAACTCAGACTCAGATCTTAAAAGCCAGTAGCCAACCAAGAAATGGAACCTTTGGCCTAATCCACAATCCCATTATCTCTTTAAGGATTGGTAAGTTACCATTACTTCAGGATAAGGATGTTTACAAGATATCAACTTTGAAGGGCAAGAAAGTGTTTATTATTATTTTGTTTACTCCTTTTTCCTCCAAAATTTAATATTAAGAGTTTGATTATGGTTCGAGTCTAATCTTAAAGTAGCTATTCAAAGACAACTCTCCTTGAAAGAGGAGGAAAATTAATGCATTTTGGTTTGAGGGATGTGAATTGACTTCAATGGCATCATGAAGTTGGAGAAGACTAATGCCAATGCGTTTGTTTTGGATTGACAGAAATTTACCCTTCAACAGATAATTATAATTTTTATTCTATTAATAAATGGCATATTTATCTTCAATTTTTTTGTCCTTACCTCTTCAGGTGAATGAATACAAGGCAGTATTCATGTGGAGAAACCAAGAACTTGGATTTGAGAAACAAACTGGACCCTTAACAAAGGCAAACTGTGGGGAAGGAAAAAAAAAAAAAGAGTAGATAATAATTGTGCAAAATGAGATAAAGACAATTTATGAAAGTCTACATATTATTTGCGAGCCAAACATAGCCCAAGTTTTGGTCCAAAAACAAAAAATAGCCCAAGTTGGTGGAACTTGGCCTTATCCAAACCAACCTGAGTGGTTGTGGGGTGATGATTTGGATTGAGGTTAATCATGGAACTTTAACAGATAAAACTAATTATGAATTAGGGTTAAAAAAAAAAAGTAAAGATGTTTGAAGCAGATCCATTTAGAGAGGTATTTGATGGATGGTTACTTGATGCATTTATTTTTGGGAGAGATTGAATCTAGTTAGTTTTTTTTTTTTTTGGACTTTGCTTGACTAGCTTCCTAAGTTAATAATACTATGTAGTCATTTAGTTCATTGTTGTCTAATATTTCTTTATTTAGTTATTAAACATCATTTAAAAATTAGGGATATTTTACATCTATAAATGTTTCTAATATAATACATGAAATTGAGACAAACTGTATTGTTTTTTATTTGTGACTAGTGTGATTTACTATGAATTTTATATTGGTTTATTGATGATATACTGATTCAATGATTTTACTTTCATGTTCAATCATTAAAACTTGAGGCTCTCACACCTTCCGGTTGCCAAAGAAACCAATATTCAAGCACTGTAGTTACTAGAAGAATACAGTTAATGTAGACCTATTTTAAAGTATTTAATTACATCCACAATTCAACAAGAGATACTTAAAAAAAAATGTATATACATCCACCTTAATAATTTTGAAACTTGAATAATTTGATTAGCTTAAAAAAATACTATATAGCAAATTTTGATTGTCTAGAATTCAGAGTAAAAAATAGTTACAGCAAATTATATGCGACTGGACCTGACAGTTCAGACATCTAACTTGTAAGACTTAGCTGGCAACTATCTGGTTTTCGTTGATACACACTTAAGGTTGTTTGTCACTTTCCTAACTGTAGTATGCTTCAGATTCATCCTCGTCATACAATTCTTCTTCTTCTTCATCATCATCATCTTCATCTTCATATAAAAGATAATTTTGATGTTGGCTCCTTAAGCGTTCTTGAATTCGGTCTCTGATTGCAGTTCCCTAATTTAGTTAAGACAATAAAATGAGATTTCATAAAAAGGAATTATCAAAGTAGTAATGAAGACATCATACAAAAACGAGTTATTTTCCACAGTAAAGAGCCAACCATTTTGTGGCAACTCTCTTCAAACATCTCAAGAAATCCGGCAACCAATCGATCAGCATTTTCAATCCATTCATCACGGTGCATTCCAGCAGTTTTTGCTACAGTTTGTATCTACAATTATGAAAGAAACCAAATTCAGATTTAACCAATATCTTATATTGCAATAGGAGAATGATGTTATAAATTCCGCGCATGCATTAAACAACGAAGAATTAATTGATCCCCAACAAGTGAACCTTAAAGCACTTGCTCCTTCATGTATTCCAACACTACGCTGCAATATATTTTTGCCCTTAGCAACACAATTTTGTTTTCTATTATCGCCCTCTGAAGTATGAACAATTTAAGGACATGAACACTATGGCAAAGAAAAATTCAAAGTTTCCAAGCAGTTTAAGTACCAAGTTATGCCTAATAAAAGATCTGTCATGCATTAGACAATATATCAAGGTCAAAACTTCTAAGCACTATATAATATATTGGGTCTAACTGGTACGGGTAGCAACTTTGGGTTGGGCTTGGCCTAGTTGAGTTTCTTCATAATCTCATGATACTTCACCTCAACAGGTACGTTCTTGATAGAAGCAGAATCTCTAATTACAAATAGCCAAGGAAACCAATGTCACAGCTTAGTTTCTTGCAACGAGTCAAATGGCCCATGGGCATAAAAATTTTGCATTAATACTGAACATTGAGTGGCCTGTCTAGCGTTGACCAGCCCAGATTTTACCAGCTGTTGATTGGTTTAGGCAAATTTCAACAATTTGTTGGCTCGTTTTCAGGATTCAATGAAGCAGTATAGACGTACTGTGGCCAGTTTGATAGTTCCTTTGTCTAACTGGCTCGTGCAGTCCAGTTTTGTACACATAGGTTAATGATGCGAAGTCAAAGCAAATGTCAACAAAAGTACCTTCTCTCCCACTTTTTCTTGGTGCTTCTTCACTTTCTCGCGCAACCTTTTAAGTCCCATGTTCATTCTTAGCCTCTTCTCCTGCCAGTAGCGGATAAAGTAACACGAAATCGTCAGCTTAAAATGGAAGACATTAATCAGCCAACGGACAAATAATATACAGGATAACATCTACAAGAAATAAAGGCTTCAATGAAGGACAAACCTTCACATAGCTGACACCTAGCTCTCTTCTTGAATAACCACGGTCCAGATTACGAATAATGTACTGGTTATAACCTTTGATAATTCTCATGATAATATCTGAAGTAGAAATCCCGTCAGTCCGCTTTGTTTCCTTAAATTTTCCAACTGACTTAACCTATGTATTGTGTAAGGAATAAATACATTAAAGATAACCAGTGTCAGCCGCAACACTAGAGAAATTTACAACTGCTAAATGAGTATTACTAATTCAATGAAACGATCAAAGCTAAATAACGCTGAAAACAGAAAACATTCGGCAAGCTCTAAGCTCATTTTTTCCATCATGTAACCATAGAAAGGCTTCAAGAAGTCAAATTAGAATCACAAAGATGAACTGTTACCCAGGGAAAAAATGAGTCAGAAGAGAAAAGTTGACACTTAATTATGATAAACCAAAGGGCAACCGTTTTGATTCTTTGAATCGAATGAAATTACACAAGTTTCTATTCTTACAATAAAAGAATGTTATCATATTAGTTTACTCAAATCAATAGTTGTTCATGCAGTTCAGCTTTCACTAAAACTTACATATTCATAGACATCCTCTCCAGCTCCGCTTGCATCAGCATAACTAAATTAATAGAGTAGAAAAAGGAAAAGTTAATTTATTGAAGAATAAGTGAGAACTTGAAGATAAAGGTACCGTACAAAATACAGTTAGGATTTAAAATGCATCCTCAACTATCATCTCACATGAATCTTGAGCTATTATTTTAATTCTCGTTATATGGTTTCCAATTTTTCTTTCAGGAAAATAAAATCCAGCATCACTTTTCTCTCCTCAAAGTGCAATATTTCAAAAGCAATTCAATTACAAACAACGAACTACTTCCAGTGCCAAAGTTGACAGCATGAAACTTCAATAGAAAACCCTAGACTTTTGACAAAGCAGCTGCAAGAAGGTTTCCCGTCCATCAACTGTAAACTTATACTACTCTAGTGTTGATAATTTTTCATCCATAAGTTCCCTTGAACCGTGATAATTTTACACATGAAAGCAGTTAGCTAGGGGCTGATTATCCTTACGGAAGAGAATCATGTGCCACATAGTCAATTTGATGCTTGTCAAGGAATTCCTTTGTCATTACCCAAGGCGCATCTGGAATAACTTCGTCAACCCACCTGCAGCGAGTACAATACAACATGTTCAAGCAACAAACTTGCATGCGAAAAGCAGTGAAGTGAATCTGATAAAGCAAAAGTCCAATATAATGTTCTCACAAATTTTAAAACAATTCAGACGAGGAAAACAGATAGACTAGAATTCTTTATTTTAATTAAAAGATTTCAACTGCTCGATAAATTTTTGGAGGTAATAAAACCAAAGAAAATTTTGGATCTTTTATATAACCAAAAAAACTGATTTTACAGTGTAAAAATTTAAAAATTGAATTTCAATTGATCACATTTTATGAGATGTAGCTCTAGAACTCAGAGATCAGAACTGGTTTTATTCCAAATTTCTAGTAGTAGAGCATTACATAAATAGGAAGTGTACATTATAGGATATTAGTGTTGAATGAATAAACTAAATTCAAAAGGTAAACCAACCTGCAGTGTCGAAGAGACTCGTAGCGTTCTCTCTCAGTCATAACGGTTCTGCCTTTATATTTGTTAGTGACCTCATCATTGCAGCATCCAACAAGGAGATAAGTGCTTGGAAACCTTAAATTAGGGGGGGAAAAGGAAATGGATATGCATTACATGATTGCTCAAATAACACCTATTTATGAAAAACAAAGTAGTTGCCGTCCAATTTGTTATGGTATAAAGCCATATATATGGCTTCTCCCCGACGCTCTGCACATGGTCTTCTACCAGGAGACACTATTTATAAGTTATAATATATTCAGAAGATGTCAAAGTTCTTCTACAGTAATTTTTTTTTTTTTACTTTAGGGTATGTTTTGAGTTTTAGATTTGTATTTTCCGGGGGTTGTCCTTGAGCATTTTGTTCTTCCTTCTCTCAACACAAATTTTCACTCATCAAAGGGGGAAAAAAAAAACAAGAAGACAACAGAATGAAAACAGAAAAACTATGTAAACTAAATCAATAGGCCTGGTTAAAAACCCCATTTATCCTAAGGACTAAAGTGGGGGGAGGGGAAAAGAACCATAACCAAGAGAATAACCAAAGCAACAAGTTATGTCGTTGAGCTTTGAATTTAAACGATACTCAGTAAGTTGTTCCGAGAGAGGCATAAACAAAGGGGAATAAAATAACGAAGATGAAGGAAGGAGAAGAGAAAAAAAAAATTACAGTTTCTTGGCTTGCTCGAGGGAACGAGCATGACCGAAGTGAAAAAGATCGTAAATTCCATCGGCGTACACACGAACTGGTCTCTCGGCGCCACCAAATTCCGAAGCTTTAGATTCCTTGCGATCCTCCATCGCTCTAATCTCTGGGAAGGATTGAGCCAAGCGATCGTTAGTTTTGAAGCGCCAAACTCCAACTCCAACTCCAACCGTAAGAATTGCCGCTACTGGATTTTGTTTCACGAGACCTTTATGTCCGTTTTGGCCTTTTTATATCGAATTACCTATCCAATCAAAATTCAAAATACAGTCATCATATGGATCTATTTGAAGATTCCTTTTAGAATTTAAATCAAAATATTATCGGGATAGTATGCTATAGAATTCAAATCCGTTTTATTGCTTTTTTTTTTTTAGATTGTGAGGGTCGGTAGTTTTTGAATTCTATTATAATTATAATAAAAAAATTAATTTTTGAAATAATTATTATTATCTCATATGAATTCTCAATGTTAAGTGAGATTTTCAGTTTCACATATATTAACTTAAGCCCTTAAGCATGCATATAAACACATACACTACTTTTTTATTTGATTTCCAAAAAAGATAATTTGCAACATCTTTTAGCACAAAATTAAATTTTGAAAAATAATAAATAACTTTCTAAAGTAAAATATTTAATTAATAAACCGATAAAATAACTAATTACTTGCAATAATAAACATGTTATTTATATAAATTTAGAAAATAATAATTAGGTCCTAAAATATTAAATTAATGATAGTTATATGTTTGATAATTTTTTTTAAAATCAAGTTGCAAATATTAATTCGAACACTTATAAATAAAAATTTTATTTACAATATTAAAATTATATTATATTTAAAATTTAAATATTTTATTGAAAATTAAAATTTTTAAATTTGTAATTGTTTAAAGAGAAAATGATAGAAAATTTTTCTTAAAATATATAAATAATAATAAAATCTCACAAAATATAATAATTCTTGTCAAGTTCTTCAGCTCTTTTTGACATTAATTTTTTTTAATTGACTATAATTCCTCTAATTTAAAATAAAAAAGTGGATCATTAATTAAAAAATTTGTAAAACATAACTTGTCATTTATTATTCCATTTTAATCATTTTTATAAAAAAAATAATAATTACTTAAATTAAAGTAATCATCAATATTTATAACATGAAGGCATTATAATCAATCAAAAAGACATTAATATCAAAAAAATTTTAAAAAATTAAAAAATTATCATATTCCTTGGTATTTCAATGTCATTGACATATTTCATGATTTTCCTTTAATTTCTCCTTGTTTTTCAAATAAATATTTTAAATTAAATTTTTTAATTTTTACTTATTTAATTTTTATTGATTTAATATTTTGAGATTGGACTGTGATTCAATTTAAAAGTTTGAGAAAATTTAAAAAATATTTATACATGAGAGATGTGAGTTCTGTGTAATTTATTTAAAATTTAAATATTAACTACCAGTTACACGGTAGTAAATGCATGCGGGTAATAATGGGAGACGGTGGAATTCTGGTGTTTCTATCTGTTTCTGTTCCCACTTCCCATGCGCCGAGCGCCATTTGAATTCTGTAGAGTGATGAATTTCGCAGTAGCAGGTCTTCTTGCTCCTTCTCTAACTCCTCGTCTTTCTACCTCCATTGTAAGCTCGGTATGCTCCTCTTTTCTCTCTCTACTCCACTTTAATTTCGTCTGATTAGTGCACTAATGATGGCTTCTGGGTAACTTCGATTATTTCTGATGCTTATGGTTATGAAGGATTTTGATTGTAGGTTTCTGTTTTTTTTTTCTTTTTTTGGGTTTGATTTTCATGGAAATGATTATTTCTTCTGGGTATTTTTCTAGAATCTTGATTGTAATGGACGATCCCCTCTGGAGGATTCTGACAATGCCTTGAAGCCCAATCAAGCCGGGTATAAATGGCGCTTGGTTTTGGCCTATGATGGGACCAACTACGCAGGTCCGCTTCCCCTTCCATTTTCTGGGATTGAAGCATTTGGTTTCTTTCACCAAGGCCTTAGTTGCCCTTGTGATTTTTTTTTTTTGGCATCTTTCTATGCATTTGCAGTTAGCTTGTTCTAAATTTCATTGCTTTGCTGAAAACTAACCAATAAACTGGCATTTTGGTCTATGGATTGTTCTTCCCCAAAAGTAGCAAAGTCATTGCGTGCTGGTCTTTTAAACATTCTCTGGTCACTTGAAGAAAAAGGCAATGTGCAATATTTGCTATTTTCCAGGGACTTGCCAAAATAGCAAGTTTACTTGAAAACTGACTTTTAATGAGGTTACAACTATTATGAAACTCTGATACTGACACGAAGGCAACGCGCACTGGTATCATAACAGGACAAAATCTATAGTATCTAGAATCTCTAGATGTAATTTGAGGTTGTGAATATCATCTTATAAAATTAATGTCACAAAATGCAGGATAAATGGACTTTTAACTGTTCTAGCTCTAGTACTTCTATAGACTCTTTGAATCAATAATCCTTTGGCAGCTGTATCAACTTTCTATATGGAGAATTATATTAAAATCCCACATAAGGAAATTAATTAATGCAAGGTCCATTGACAACAGAGTCAATGCAGTTTAGTTTAGTTGTTAATAAACCTTACAGTAATTAATTTTTCTGTATGGAACTTGGTTGTAATTCTCCTTTTTCTATATGTGACAATCTCAAATCTTGTGCGTATTCTATATATATATATATATATATATTTTTAAGTTTGACTTGTTAATATATTAGTGTTGCATATCATTGCAGCAAAAGTAAATTGTGACACCCTGTGTGACTTCTCTGTTTAGGAAGATTGTAATTCAGGTTCTAAAGGTGGTAGGTTCTTTGCACTAGTGCATACTATAAAATATAAACAAGTCTCAGTTGAGTGAAGACTCTCAATAGTGATCGGTGGTGTATAAAAGTTGGTTTCAAGGAATAGGAAACATAAATCTGAATAATTTGTTATTGCATCAGTAGATACACTCTGATATTGATTGAATGCTTCTGGATTCATTTGGCTGTACTTCTGATTATGCAAGTGGTCTTTATCCATCAAATTTTGCATTAATCACTGCTATAATTTCTAATCTCAAGCTTAATGATAGCCAGTGCTCTTTTTAAACTTTCTATGTATAATTGAGTTCTTTTAATTTTTTTTTAATTTGCCTAATTATGTTCAAGACTGATTATATTTCAGGCTGGCAATATCAGCTGGCTCCCCCAACCATCCAATGTGTTGTGGAAAATGCTTTAACTCGAGTTACAAAGCTAGATAGGAAGGATCTCTGCTTGGTTGGTGCTGGCAGAACGGATAGAGGAGTTCATGCCTGGGGTCAGGTCCATCTTTATTTCTCATGTGTAGTTTGAAACCGATTAGGTTGAACTTGACTGTATTCATGCTAGGTTTTTGAAGAAAAAGTGCGCTCCCCCCTCCCACCCCAAAAGAAAAGAAAAAACATCCGTCCAAGCCCAAGTCTGATTTCATTTTTCTGTTTCAGCCCGAATTTGAATAAAATTACATGAATCTAAAGATTTTTAAAATATCAAACATTTGTTCAGATTAATTCAAATCAAAAGGCAGGAAATTGTAGTTTTTTTCAGGAAAGACTTTCATCAAATAGTACTCTTTTAAACATCAAAGCCTCTAACAAAAACGTCAAACATTTTATTTTGGCCTGAAATATTTAACAACATTACAAGAGGAAAATAACAAACTTCATTCAAATTCTATTGGGGCCTAGCCGCTTAGGCTAGAAAACTCAGAATTATTCGGGTCTTGAATTTAAGGGACAAATTTAGTATTTTGTTTTGCAGGCTGGATTGGTTACTCGGCTTGCGATCAAATCCTAATTTTAATGGCCTCCATAGATTACAAGCTTAACTTGACTGCAGGGTGCGCACTTTTTTACACCATTCAACTATGACAACTTGGAAGAGATTCATGCAGCTTTGAATGGCCTTCTTCCTTCTGATATCCAAGTTAGGGAGATCAGTCCAGCATTGCCTGAATTCCATGCTCGATTTTCTGCAATAAGCAAGATTTACCATTACAAGATATACAATGATACCATAATGGACCCATTTCAGCGGCACTTTGCTTACCATAGTGCCTATAAACTCAATAGCACTGTCATGAGAGAAGCTGCAAAATATTTTCTTGGGAAGCATGACTTCTCTGCCTTGGCCAATGCATCCCACAATGATCGGGTTCCAGATCCAGTGAAGCATATATTCAGATTTGATGTGATAGATATGGTAATTGTCTATCTCTAGTACAAGGTTTCTCCTCTTTTAGCTATTATTTCATTTTTGAAATGGCAGTTTAATCCCAGAAATAACTAAAAGATCATGAAGTTATTTAAGGCATAGTGAAACACGCTTTCAAAAATGTTGTTCATCATTTAAAAATTTACATGGCTATTTCTTTTAAAATTGAGACACTGGATGGTTAGTGGTAATGGAACGAATCACAAGGGAGTTGAATACAGGAGTTTTATGATTTTTGGCCAAAACATTGTAGCGTAATCTATAATTTGCCTACTTACAGTTTTGCACTATAATTAGTCTAATTTTTGTCTTCCTTTTGCACTATATGTAGGGGGCTCTTTTGCGGTTAGAAGTTGAGGGCTCAGGTTTCTTATACAGACAAGTACGAAACATGGTAAAGGATTATTCTGCATTTGAAATTTATTCTACACTTATTCCAATCAGATGTTAGAAATTGTTCAACGTATTATATTGTATCGTATCTGATACATGTACCTATATCAGTGTTTCCTAGTTCTGCAGTCATTCTGATTAAATACTAGCAATTGTGCCTATCTGTTTACCGTACAGGTGGCTCTGCTGCTTCAAATCGGCAAGGAAGCAATCCCTCCTGACATTGTCCCAATGATTTTGGCATCTCGAGACCGCAAAGAGCTCGCAAAGTTCGCAGTATCTGTGCCGCCTCACGGCCTTTCCCTTGTATCTGTCAACTACAAAGAAAGTCACTTGTTACTTCCACCAGATCGCCCCGCTAGCAGTTTTGGTAGGCATCATAGTGTTACAAAATGCAAGCTTCCGTTTTATTGACAACATTTGGCAGCCTGTGAAACGTTGATACTTCAAAAATGGAGCCTCGTTATTTGCAGATATGATGCACACGATTGCTTATCTTGTGGTTGTATCTGTGTCAATATAGATGTTTCCAAATCAGCAACAAGAAGATCCCATATGTAGAAATTACGTTTTGACTTGTACTTGATTTTGGTGAGAACCTGGAGCAGAAATTTGACTTCCGGGACTATTTCGATTTTCAAAGATGTAATTTCGAACGAAGTTCTTTACTATTGTAATCCCGAGAGTATAAAGCTGTTGAGATTTTGCCAAATATAAAGCTTTGACTTGCTAGGATACCTACTAGATGTGTTTTTTTGGGTAGAAGGATGGGGTTGGTTTGTGGAAGTTCAAAGTTAAAAAGTAACACACACACACACATATTTAAGGTATTTATTTTTAATTAAATTAAAACGTGTAAATATTTTATACATTATTTATTTTATAATAAACTATTAATATTAATATTTTTAACACTTTAAAATTTATTATTTTAATTTGATGGGATAAAAGTATATTAAATATATAAAATATAAAACTTAATTCCTAAATCTTACCCTTTAAAATGAAAAGTTGAGTATGAGACATCTGAAAAAAAAAAATCAATATTCCAATGTTATTTAATATTCAAGATAACCTTACAATTCTTAGTATGGGGTATTAAAAAAATGGCATGTTTATTTATCATTGATTTCATCTACTTGTATTTTGCTGACCATATTTACGAGAAAATTTTTCATAAGGAGTAGGAAGAAAAATTATGGTCATCTATTAAGTAAAAATCCCAATTCCAAGTTAAAGGAAACATGAGGCGGTAACAATATTAATAAGACGATTGAATAGATCACTTAAAGTACCAAACCATTTTTTAAAATGGAGGAACATACAAATTTATAGCTTCAAAGAATGCCTATGGCTTATGTCTCAAAGAAACGAAGTTCTGCCATAAACTCTTGGCGTTGAGGGGAATACCAAGCAACTGCTTTTGCAGAACCAAGGACGCGCAATGCATATTCAAAAGCAAATATGGGTTCTTGTGCTTGTATAGGACACTTTGTGTTCTTCAGATCAACTGTAACTCCTGAATCAACTCTGAAACTGAGAGGACCAACAATCTGCATGGTACACAATAATATTTGGTCATCAAGAGCAGGTTTCAAAATCCATGGAACATTACGGCGTTGTATCTAATACATATTCACTGCATGAAATTTAAAATTTTACTTAAAATATTATATATTATTTGGTAGAGAGAAAAAATTTAAACACTAAGTAGTTAATCGTTTTTCATATTCAGCTGTTCAAATAAGATTGTCTTGTATCTATGTGAGTATCTATGCTTACTAGTTTAGATCCATGCATAAAAGAAATAGAAGTGCTAAGTGAGGTCAGAGCAAAACTGAAAAGAATATGAAAGCGGGACAAGACAGTAATGTGCTGTTTGGTTGGGACATAATGGTTAATTTTCATCTTTAAAATTAGGGATAAGGGTCATATTTGCCCTTCAACTTTACTAAAAAGGTTACTAGAAACTCTAAACTCAATTATGGGTCAATTTTATCCCTCAACTTTAAAAATTCCCTCTCTTATCAGCCTACCGTTTTCTTACAATTAATTGACTATCAATAAGCCCCACATTACACTTTTTTAATATTTTTTATTATAAAATATTTGAATTGAAGGAGCTCATTAACCCTTCGAATAAAAGTTGAAGAGCAAAAGTAACCCTTAATCTAATAAAAAATATTAAAAAAATAGTGAGACCCACTAACGACTAATGGATGTTAAATATTTTTAACATTAAAGTGATGATGGAAGGAATCTTTAACATCAAGGAACAAAATTGATTCATAGTTAAGCTTAGGGTCCCTAATGACCTTTCGGATAAAGTTGAGGAGCAAAAATAACTCTTAACCCTTAAAATTATTTTTCTAGTACACCTAAACTTATGTCATTTCATAACAAAGGTTCTGGCATCATGCAAAACTTCTGCATGTGTGAAATCCCATAATTGAAAGAAAGGGAGGTACCTGCTGCTGAACAGAAAAGACAGCATCAGGACAAATTGCCTGAACGGCTTCCAAGCTGGGCTTCTGAGAATTGAGGAGATCTTGTGTAACACTTGTTGCACCTGAAAGAAATTTCAAGCCAGAAGGAACATCCAAGCGGGCCTGAAATCTGGAAAGGTCTAGGAAAAGCCTTTGAAAGTTTCCATATTGAGCTGTAAACGAAACGGATGCAAATATATCTGCCAAACAGGAGGACTTTATTCCATAAGCCTCGAGATAAAATCCTTTGGAACATAGTCTATCATCTTCCACTAGCGCTCTTACTGAATTCTCTCCCAGAGAGGTGGTCACAGCCATACCTGATCACAAGGAATTCAAAGAACTGATGAGCTCAATAGTCAATGCTATAACATTCAGGGCTTTATGTTAAACACCGATTTGATGTGCTCATCCATGACATGATAGCACCCCTTGGCATGGTAATCTTAGTCCTAGTTCAGATGGCAGAACCCATCACAATCATTCAGTTCAGACCCTTAATCCTTAACCCTCTAATGGTAGAAAAGCTAATGCTCTTATTAGTAAAGATAATATGTAACAGTTTCCTCACTCATTCACTGGGCAAAAGGCCGTGTAGCTAAAGCACATCAGCCATCACCTTTTAGGCCAGGAATGTACTTGTAAAAATTTATGCATAATAAAACAACTTACCAATCATTCCTGTAGCAGATACATGAGGATTTGAAAGAAAAAGGTCATATGGCTGCACCAATTTCAACTTTCGAGCAGTGCTTCTCCATATGTCAATGTTCTTCTTGTAAGAAAAGGCACTTTTGATGGCCAATCCTGGAAGTAGAGTAGGAGGCACTCCAGTACTTTGATTTTGATTACTTTCAAACTGCTCAGGTGTCCCCTTATTATGGTGCAAAGATAAATGATAACTTGCAACAGAGTCACTGGTAGCTAAAGAAGCAAGATCAATTGCCATTGAAAAGGGTACATCCCAGTAATTACCTGTCTTATCAACAAAAAGACCAGGCAAAACTGCCTCTACCATTAGATCATGATCTGCAAACTACAACCACAAACCAATTGAATCTTCTATAAGAATAAATACCCTACACATAGCTCAATTCACGTGAAAATTTAACCACAAAACAACAAGAAATAAACAATTAAAAGTAATAGTCAACGTAGCCTACAGTATGCATAGTGCAAAGTTCAATAAAAAATTGTGGTCAACTGAACATGGAAAATTTGTCCCCCCAGGATGCATACTGTATCCCCAATAGAGTGAATCAAGCTAAGCACACTATTATTCTCTTCAATGATACAAGTAAAGCACGAAAGGCACAGTTAACTGACAAGGAAATCTAGAACAGAAGACATGGCATAACGACTTTATATTAACAATCACCTTGTGATGAAGAACTGCCTTAATTCTTCGTTTATTGGTATAACCATAGGCATCTAAACCAACAAGCAAAGTGTCATCAGGTGTTAATAGGAAATCTGAACAGAAATTTAGGGCATATAAGGATTTCTGCTGTAGGTGCTTCTGAAGGGATTTTAACCATGAGGATACAGACCCATGTGGTTCTCCACTGCTTTTAACAGAGGTGATAAATCTCTGCAAATTGAACTGCCCAAGAAAAGTTACAAACCTGCAAAACTTGCAAACCTAAATATCAATATATATATATATATATATGAATTCCATAAGGATTTTCACAGTCAATTTATAATAAAGACCCTATTGACAGTTAGGAAATACACAGAAAAAAAGATTCACAACATTATACAAATGGTGCAAACCACTACTACCTTCATTGTTCTGGTTTATCTTATTCCAATAACGCCCCTTCACAAAATGCTCACAGTTTAAAGTATCTATGGAGGAATTTTCAAGGGGCCAATTAGTTGTTGGAAAGGATGAGAATGGAATGGATTAAATAAATAATGACAAAAATAAAATAGTCAAAATGGGGAGGGGAGATAGGTCAACCACGTTCGTATGCAGGGAAGGTAACTTAGTTCATGAGGTTGCAAATCATAATTTTTAAAGTTTGTGGAGAGCATGGTGATTCCCATATTTGTGGAATATTGTTGTGGGTTTTATTATCCTTATCATGAGGGGGGAGGGTAGTCTAGTTTATTTTTGTTTTCCATTTCTTTAATCCATTTCATTCTCATCCTTTCCAGCAACCAAAAGGCTTCTGAGCCTCTTCCTCCCCTATATAGGGTCTATGATTTACCATTACTGTCATTTTTCCAAAATATCAATTCCCAAACTATGAAGCATTGAAGTGGACAATTAAATCTTCATAACAATCGAACGTGACTAGCCAACGCACAATTTTCTCTTATTCGAATAAAGAATCCACCATAAAACTTAAAACTACATTCAAACTTTGGCAGAGAATAAGGTACATGAACAAGGGAATTACCAGCGATCAGAAAAAGGGATGGTAAGCACGCGCTGGAGACATAAGCCTTGAGGTTTAGTATAGCTCGGAATAAGAGGTGCATGCATGAAGCGTTGCATGAAATCAATTTGATTGGGTCTTGAAAGCCTTGTCCCTCTGGATATACCCAACGGAATTGGGTCTCCAGGAACTGGAGAAGCCAAACCATCAAGGGTTTTGGGGGTAGAGACGTCCAAATCCCAAAACCCTGCTCCATCCATAGCCCATCTTAGTTTCCTCATCTCTCTTATCTTCCAGAAAAGAGCACTTATGACCTTGCAGAACTGTGCTACCGCCAAGAGAGAGAGAGAGAGAGAGAGAGAGCTTAACCTGTTTCCATTCACATGGCTCTTCGCTTTATCACTACTGTCAATTTTCCAAAGTGCTAACTCGCAAACTATGAAGCATTGACACAAAACATCCATGTTGACAATTAAATCTTAATAAAAATATATATATAACATGACTAAGCGTATTTCATTAATAATCCACAATGTAAAATTTCTCTGCATCCCCTTCTCTTTCGTCATTTCAATTTCGAGAACGATTATACCGCATACAGTAGTCTCAGACACTATCAGGAAGAATTTTCAAAGCATAATATGATGCTCGACCGACAATTAATTAGAATTCAATAGCGAAAAGAATAAAGGAAGGGGAGTAAGTACTTGATTGAAAGAGATTGATGATAGCTTGTGCTACATTTGGGGTTGTCAAGATTGCAGGAAAGCAAGGCGAATGATTCGAAGCTCTCAATTGCGACCCAATAGATGTGTGTAAGAATGGGCGAAAGAGCTGCTTTCCGTGTATTGGCGTCAGATAGAGACTTGGAGAAGTGACTTGGGTGGGACTTTGAGGGGCGTTTTGGGAAGTAAGCCTTGTAACTCTAACTGAATAATATTTTTTCCGTTGGATTACAATGAAGAAACGTCTTGAATATGAAACTAGGCTGGGGTTACAAAATACAACCCGTCTATTTTTTGCACTAACATTTAAGTAGGAGTCTTGCCCTATCCGACCCTAGCTAAGAGATGCAGGGGCTTTGTAAACTTAGTACTTTGCAAGTTTTTCTTTTTTAAATGGAAGGTTGCGGGTTCAATCTCTCCATAATTTTAGGTTGTTAATGTCTACCTCTCTAATAAAAAAAATTGAGTGATCAAAGGGAAAGCAATTAGGGACTAAATTAAAAATAGTCTTGGCATTTTTATGAAAATACCAAATTATATTAGGTGGATTATAGAACACATAATTATAATAAATTAGTTCTGGAAACATTCTCCAGACACCGAAGGGTGGTATCTTGGGAGAAAAGTATAAATAAAGGAAAATTAATATTTTACAATATTTCGTTAAAGAAATTAAGAATTTCATATTCCTTCAAACACTAACTTTTGTGAGGAGTGAGACATTAACCTAAGATGGATTTTAGGGTTCATTGAACTTCTTAGTACTTAAATTGAAAAATTTCCCTCCAATGCAATGAGTAATCTTAATTTATTTTTTTAAAAAAATAAATTTAAGTGGGAAAAAGAAGGATTAAAATGATAATTTAAGAATTAAATAAGTGTTAAGTGGTTTTGATTTAGATTGAACTCTTCCTATTTAAACCCAAATTTAGTTTCAAATTTTTTGGTCAGAGATTATCCTCACTCTCACAGTTGCATTGGACCGAAAATTGACCCAGAAATGGTAGGGAAATTTTAACAAACTAACTGGAAAATTTACCTAGTTTAGTGGAATCCACTTGGCAAGCTTTAAGCTTAATGAAGGATTAAATGTTACCCTCCTATTGGACCCCAACTTGAACTACTGACACTACGCAAGTTTAAGTCCTATTTAGCTTCATTATTCAGATTATTCAGCTCATTCTGGTGTCTTTCACAGCCTGAAAATCGAAGGAAGAAAAAGAGAGAGAAGAGAGAATTCAATGTAATGAATAAAAAATGGTGGGCACGAGATCTTTAGTTTCTACCTTCAATTTCACCCTTTAAACCTCAACAAATTCCAAAACTCTTTTTAGAGAAAGTGTTCGTATCTTCAACAGCTACACGCCTATGGTTTTAGATTTTCTATCGGTGAAGATTTTGATCACAAGGGTTACCTCAAAGTGGGCGAACCAAGTAAGCAAAGCCTAAGCAACTAAGAGGTATGAGCTCTTTACTCGGTTCTGTATTTGGTTCGGAAGTTTGATTGAGAAACACTTGAGCGTGCTGCTGTTCTATTCTTTGCTCATGAGTAAACTTGAGAATGTTGCTGAAATAAGATAATGTTTAGTATATGAAAAATATTTTTTAGAAAAGAAATGAAATATCTTAAGGAAATAAAAGAGAGAGAGAGATATATATATATATATATATTTCTCAATTTTTTTTTATAGAATACACTTCTCTGTTAGCAAACATTACTTAAGAATTTTGATTTGAGATTAGAGTAATTATAAGTATCAAGGATGGAATTATATCTCTGGTAGTATATAAAGATATCTGGAAACAAATTGTAAAAAATTGACTTTGGAAACAAATTGTAAAAAATTGACCATAAAGAGTCAGGTTCAATTTGTATAAGTTAAGCATTAACCTGCAAGTTTAAGTTTGAAATGTTGAAACTATGATCTTATTTGAAAGTACAGTGGCCACAAAGCTAACTAAACAAATTAGACATATTAAAGTTATAAATTGGAACATTTTTACATGTGGCACAAATAAAAAACTAATTTTTACATGGAAATTAAGCTAACTTCTCTTCAATCAAAAAGATAATTCAGAAGATGATTTCAGTTATTAAAAAAAAAAAGCAAGTCTTTTTTTTGGGCGATTGGGCCCAAAAAAATGGAAGTCCAATTTGTAAAGTCCCTTGTCTTAAACTCAAAATAAAGCTGACAAAACGCCCTCAAATTAAAAACCATCTTGCTAGGGTCGTCTCATCTTGGATGAATCAAACTCATTCCATCATAGAAAAAGACAACAATTCCAGAATCTGTACATTCTCAAGCTTATTAGAGGCAAATAGAAGAAGGCTGTTTGGCCAAAGAAGATTAGCTTGAAGACTGCAAAATAATTCAAAAAGCTCGGTTACAATAACATAAAAGCTGTCCATCCACAATTTTCCTGCTTCCAAAACTAGGCATGGCAAGACTTGTGCACCAAAGAAGAATGCCTGGGATTTTGAATGCTAATTCGAGAGCCTGCCTTTGACGCGATCTTCTGAAAACAAACAGAAAGGAACCATAAATGAGGACATATTCTGTAACCGAAGTTAGAAGTCCTTCCCTCCTCTTGTGGAGAGAAGAAAATTTCCTACGTAGGACTCTCCATTGAGATCAGAGTATATACTTGAGATAAGTCATAAGGAAACACAAATGTTGACGAGATCAGCCAACTGCAACCCTATAAGGTTTTTCTTCCAATTAAATGATAGCCAGTTACAAAACGGCAGCGAGGAAAGGGAAATATGTCTTTTACCTCCAAAATGGCAGGTTGAAGACATGCTGATGGCAGAGCTGCGGCCGCCACAACCTAACAGAGAAATACCGATCAACCAAAGCCAAACCCTTCACTGGCTTCATGGATAGCAAGCAACAACCGTTCTTGAAGTTGGTCCTTGGAAGTGTATTCAGGAATGTCTAGTTGATTGAAACTGGGGAAAATGGGGGAAAAGCAAGCGAAACCAGTAAGGCTAAAAGTCCATTCGGAGAATTATAATCCTAAGTAATCATATGGATAGGGAAAGACAATGGGCACAAACAAAACAATTCCATATATGTAACAACTCACCAAGTATGAGCGGATGGCAATCTATCAGGAGCTCCATATGCCTTGTGAATCTGAAACCTCTGAGGTCCAGAGATACCTTGCAAGGCCTTAAAACCATCCAATGGAACCTGAAACCAAGTTCAAAAACCATTCTAAAATTTGCCCAAGTTATTTGCATCACTACTAATAGGGAAAAAATGCAAGAAATATTATACTAGCAATGATGTTATTTCTTCTCCCAGAGCATTTTGTACCATGATAAAACATTAAATCCACCACCCAAGCTGATAGACGTATCTCTCCTCGTTCAGTTGGATGGGGATATATCAGGGTAAAAAAAAGAAAAGAAAAGATTCACAGCTGGAATAGTATTTGTCTGGCATATTGAATTGAATAAAAATTTTCCCCTCCAAAACAAAAATTGTATTAGATAAAATTTATTCATGTAAGTTGAAATCCAACAAAGGTCAACCCTGACCAAATTATACACATTATAACTCAAACATCCAACCACATGGAAACTGGAGTCAGTAGAATAGCTTCCAACTATAAAGACGGAAAGAGGTACATATTCTACCCAGAAGACTCTATCCCTCTGGACAGGTGTTATAGCTGTAAGTAACATCACATCTCCCATTGACATAAGGGGAAATCTATCACACACCTTAATTACTCATTCTTGGTCCTTCTACCACAAGTTATCACCATAGATTTACATTTATCACCAAAGCTTGAATATTACTAACAGGCTGATGCTTTTTGGCCAAAAAGCTACTAATTTCGCTACTCCACTTCTCAGTTTTGTTAGTTTCATATGCTTGTTGTTGGATTCTTTTCTCTTTTTTTATTTCAGAAGACAATTACCAGATAGAGCTGCCCAAACTGAAGAAAACCAAAGCTCACAACCACATAAGGTAACTGAAAATATGGTCGATAATGGGCATATTTTTAACCTAACTATTGCTCGATCGGCTTGAGTTTGAACTCAGCTCTAACCGCACCAGACTATTTTTGGCCGTAGATAGCCAAGCAACGGAAGAAGGAAAATGAGATCAAACAAAATGATCTACTAGACTCTTAGACACGCTAAAGCAAAAATAAGTAAATCATGCATGCCTTGTTAAACTTGGACGGGCAAAATTTTGAAAGGAAGAAAAAATTTGCATCATAAGTTAATAACTAATTGCAAAATATAAATTGACATGGTATAAACACAAAGAATACAATGTTTTCACTGAATCACCTTCGATGTTCCAGTCACAAATTGCAGCAGTCTCGCCATATCTTCTTTGCTGAAAGTTTTGACCACCTCCCAAAACCACTGGACAACATTTGATGCCACCGTATAGCCTGTGTACTCAGTATTGGCCTTCAAGTCATCCACTGTAAAAAGAATGACGCTATTCAGATAAGGCAAACGAAAATAGAATTTCTGAAATAAATTAATGTTGAAGCCAGCTCACAATCAATTTCTGGAAGGCCACTAATGAGTAGCTCAAGCTCCTTGCCATTGAAAATGGATATAAGTTCTCGGGGCACCAATTCATTGAAACCTTCTAGAAAAGAATTAATTTGAGGACGTATAGCATTTGTCAGAATATGATCGGCAACAAGGTCGACATACTCGTGTTTTGTTTCTTCTGTAACTCTTATGTTTCTTCCTCCAGGTTTAAGCTCATAGTCAGTTACCTATTTCATGATTGTCACGATGGCCAAGGAAATAGAAAGGGCATATGATCAAAATATATCCATTGAGTTTGAACCTTCCACGATGTCAAACAATCCAAATCGAAATGTTTATATACCTCATTCTTCTCATAAAGTATGTGTTTTTCCTCATCGGGATCCATGCTAAACGTTAGGTCAAGAATGTCACTTACATCATTCTGGTGTGCATGGTACAAAGAAAAAAATTATTAAAACAAATACGGAAGACAAGTATTCAAGAACACAAATAGAATAACAAGAAAAGAAAATAACAATGAACTAGAATGTGGGTCACATGATTTGCATAGAATCTGAGATAAGCAGCACAATTTACGGCTTATAAATAATATAACTTTCTATAGATTTTATATTATATATGAAACACATAAATATAAATAGAGATTGGAAAAGGATGTGCAATAGCAACTAACCTCCAGCATCCACTTCAAATTCTTGTAGTAATCA